AATCCCACAATGTTGTAAATTGATGTTGATGTTATGTTATGGCTTTTAATTGATCAGGATAATATTCTGCCAGCTCTGCTTTCAGACCAGAGAAGGTCTCCCTAAAAAACCGTTGAATTTATCTGGACAATAAGATGCTAGACTCTATGCGCTTGCAATGAAAGAATCTTGACTGTATTTGAACTGTAATACTGCAACAAGTTGGAGGAATCCACCGTGGGGGGAGGGAAAGAGGAGGGGAAGGGGGAATCACAGAGCCTATGAGACAGTGTCACATAATGCAATGTAATCAATAAAAAATAATATAACAAAAAAAACCCCACCAAGTTTGACATTGTTTGGTGAGCTGGGAAGTTTAAAGCTTGAAAATAAAGTGCAAATGAAGTCAAAGAGAAACTAATAAACTGGAAGAATTTTACAGACATTTTTATTTACTTCTCATTTTATATCTAAGAAGCATGCATCATGATCTCTTTTGCACAGAAAAAACATTGAGATAAGAGATTAGGCCAATTCTTCAAGAGCTCACAGGTAATCAGGAGAGAGAGAAACCATCTGAAAGCAACCAAAACACTTTCTGCTCTATTGCAATGCTCTTCTGGGTTCCTATCCTCGGATCGTAGTGCAGCAGCTAGCGGTTTCAAAGGCAAAATATGCAAGTGCATAGCACAAAGAGTTGCAATTAGAATACACTTGTTAATTAATTTGGAGGTAGAGACAGGCAAAGGTCAATTTAAGTGAAAACAGAGTGGCTGAAAACAAAAAGATATTTCTGTGCAATGTGAACAAGGTGGGCTCAATATAAATCTGAAGCAATAGATCTCTAGAGGGAAAGTTTTCATGACTTGAATTCATTGCTAAATAAACAAACACTGTAGGCATGCCAACATGTGTAGTATCTCAGGATCACACACAGGAATTCTGCAATGATGCTGCATGAGATTACTTCCCAATGATAATTTAGAATCATTTTATTAAAAGCAATCTCTTACTCTAGCAAAGATTTCATAAATAATAATAATAATAAAGGAAAGTATTTTATATATTTGTTATTTAAAAGAAGATTGTAAAGCCAGAAACTACCTTGTTAACTTATTAAATCTGTTTGTTTGGAAACAAAGCCACTCATTTACTAGTTCACTCAAAAATAATTGAATAACAAATACATACAAGTATCGTTTTGTTAATACACGTGTGTTATGACACCAGAAGGAAAGGGAAATTTAAATCCAGGGAAATTTAAATAAACCAAACTGTTTATTTGCCCTCACACTGAATACAAATATTTTACAAGCCAGTTCTCATATACCAAGATACAGCAATTATTTCAGGGTGGTGGTGCTAAGATTCTTATGTAAAACCATTCTGCTTGAAATTAGGTGTACTGGGCCCGGGGCGATAGCCTAGTGCCATTGCACACCCTGGAATCCCATATGGGTGCTGGTTAATGTCCCAGCTGTCCCAGTTCCCATCCAGATTCCTGCTTGTGGCCTGGGAAAGCAGTAGAGGATGGCCCTTGGGACGCTGCACCTGTGTGGGAGACCAGGAAGAAGTTCCAGGTTCCTGGCTTCCGATCAGCTCAGCTCTGACTTCTGTGGCCATTTGAGGATGGGAGATCTTTTTCTGTGCCTATCTGCCTTTGCAATAAAAATAAATCTTAAAAAAAAAAAAGAACTTAGGTGTGCTATCTTCCTGTACTTGAGAAATTTTACATGTTTTCTGAGTCTAATAGAAAAGCTAATTCATAATAAATGACCTTATGTTTTAAAGAAAGCACATCACTTATTAAACAATTAACACAGCATTTTTGTAAAATAATAAGCTCATAACTTTTCAGGAACATGCATTACATTAAGATAAGCAGAATCAAAGACTTTGTTGAATGTTTACTACATGAATGTCTAATATAATTTATTATGATAGGATCTGATTTCCAATGTTTAAGAAAACCAAAAGAAGCAAGAAAAGTAGAAAACCAGACTGGAATACCAGACTCAGGCCTGGACTGTGGGTTACTTGGGGAAGGCAGCTTAGGTTGCAGTCTCCATTGATGTGTGTAAGGGCTGGGTTTATGTTGGACTAGACTGGGCTAGCCTGCAACACATACTGGTTGTGTAGGGGCTAGGATTAGGGCTGGGGGTGGAACTGATCAGGCAACTGCATTCACTGATGTGTGTCGAGGCTGATGCTGGTGTCAGACTAAACTTGACCCCATACTAGCTGGCACACATGAGTCAGGTCTGGGCCATCCTAGGCAAAGTTTTTTGGGGGACGCCCCAACTAGAACAATGGGCTCAAACTGGCCAGAGGGAAAATCACAAATATGTGGTTTGACCTTGGAGTCCATGTGTCGGGATTGGGTCTCCTCAGCTGCTGATGCGTGTGCTTCAGCATGCCCAGAAGCACACGGTGACACAGCAGCCAGCTGATCTAGTCCAGGAGAGGACATCAAGTGGCTCGTCAGAGGGTGAAAAGCACTACAGGTTAGGCAACAATGCTGGCCTACCTATGCAACCAGTATCTGGGTGTGTGGATGCACTAAAGGTAGAATCTGTCAACCAACAGACCTTGGAGAGATTCTCCTAACTCTGGAGGAATGAAATCAACAATTTCTCAGAGCTATCAAAACTGTCAAGTAACACTCTTGGAACTGCCTTCCCCACACTGGGGGTCTCTGGAGCGTCATCAAAGGATCAATTCCATATATATTAGAGAGAAAGATTACTTTTCATTCCTTAAGCAAATGACATCCACAAGGACTTTTTTTTTTTTAAATCTTTCCACAGTGGTTCTCATAACAGTAGATCAGAAGTCTAAAGACACTATACATTTAAAATCAACAAAGATGGAGGTAGATCTCACATACCGTTCCTATCACAGTAAGTTTTTTTTTTTTCCCTAAGGAAAAGGTGTATCAGAACCAACTATAGAGAACCTCAAAAACAAACACAGATGCCGGAGTCCCATCTAAGGGCTTTAGAAAGGTTTGGAAACCATCAGTTAGGATTATCGTTAAGGTTCTTTCCATTGCTGGGATTGTGTTACTAACATACTTTCCATACATTCATGATCGAACCACCCACAGCTACCCAGAATAAAAATATCATGCCTAATAAAGTAGGGTCCTGTTCTTCCCCATGACTATTGCACTCCCATTACAAACTGAGACAAACTCACTTTGAATAAACTGAAGATTAAAACAAAACTCACTCTTTCCCCTTACAGTTATTTTGATATTTATAATATTTTGCTACTACTGGAGGTAGGGACTAGGGGAATTCGGTTTTGATGTAAGCACTGATTATTGCAGTGGCGATAAGGAGTCAGTGTGGTTAGAAGCATGGCTGTTCACTCTCGCATGGTTCTCCAAGTCAAAACCATCATAAATGACATTTCCTAGTGAGTTATTTAACTGTTATCGCGCTGTCTAGTCTGTCACTTCATCTGCAAGAGTTCTTTTTGGTCCTGTTAGCGGTCTTTGTTATCTAAAAATTCCCTACATTATTTTAATCCCTTTTTCTACATTCTCAAGTGAAATTCATGGATACTTTGATTTTGACATTGCTTTAAAAATCATAACAGCAATATAAATGGGAATAAAATTTTAGTAATTAATAAGCTACATACTTCAGCATAAACATGCTCAGGTATGACTCTGCTAAAATAGAATGAAACAGCCAAATGCACACACCTACTTAGAATTAATATATTTTAAGAACAAGTAGGGTGAATCCAACCACTCCATGAAACAGGTATAGAAAAATGAAGCTCAGCCAAGTGATTTTTGGAAATGGTCCCAAATGACACAAAGTACAATTAACTCTTGATGTACTAAGTGGCTACATTTCTATGAAATGCAGAAATCATTTTTACACGTGAAATAATCCTTTGTGTTTATGTATGTAAATAAGTTAAGTGCATATATAATGCATACAAGCTTTTCCCCACTTACTGTGATACTGAAAAGCTATGCAGGAACCACAGGTTTTTTTTGTTTGTTTTTTGTTACACAGGATGTTTTCTGCTTTATTGGATACCTAGTATCTCTGATTGCTACCCACTAAATCATTGAGACAAACTCTTATGTTGCACAAAATTCCCAAGTGACCCCACCACAGGTTTGTAAGTGACCTAACTATCTTAATAATTTCAGCACTTAATGCTTTCTACTATAGTTTCCTGTTCTGGGTTAAGGGAAAGTTGATTATTGATCCTTGAGCTTGGGCTCAAGATTGTTTGATAAGAATACTAGATATCATATTAGTACACTTTTAACCCAGAAGCTTCCAATAAGAAATCTGACTTAAAACTTTTTCAGGCCCATGCGCAGGGATCCCATACAGGATGTCATTATAAAAATCACAAGAAAACAGGTGAGACGGTAGAGTGGGAATTATAATTATGCTCCTATAAACACACATATGAAATACACAAAGTTCATTCCCTTTAAGTAAAAAATGTCCATTTAAAAATATTTAGCTTATGTTTACTTCAGATTTCACTGATTAGTTTCCTAAGGAAAATTACTTTTCCATCTTAAAATAATCTGGTTATTTTTATTTATTTCACTTTCTTTTTATGTAAACTAAAAAAATAAATGTTACCATAGTGAAGTATAGGCATCACCTTTTGATTTTAGAAAGCAAAACTTTCTGCCCAACTACACATTTTTCAGTATTCTATTTCCAATTGTTTTCGTCAAATATCCTTTGACCATGTGTTAAATCTGCCTGGGCAGCACATGATGTAAGATTCACTTTTGAGTCACTTTTACAGCAGCAGAGCATATACACTAGTTCCCATAGGCTTTGTTATCCCATAAAGAAGGTGACAGCAAATAAATGCAGAACAGAAGTCATAGTTTCTGTTATTAAACAGAGCATTATGGTACTGATAAAGAACTCCTTCACATAGACCCTACATAATTATACCATAAAATTAAGAAAACAAACATGTGATCTGGAACAATCTTCATCTTCCAAGCGCAGTATCACACTTACCTGGTACTGGGTCGCTTTTGCAGGGCTTTATCCAGGATAAGAGATGGAGCACTTCTTCTCCTTTCTGCTAGTGTTTTCATCTTCTGTGGAGTGGAAAAAGAAATCCAATGAAGACACACGGCTTCTACAGCGAGTACGTATTGATTCTTGGTGCAATTCAGCAAGTTTTGCATTGCCTATTTTTTGTCTAACAGTAAGTCCCCAATTATATTATGGAGGTACAACTATAACATCTAAAACAGAATAGTATCAAAAAGTGGTACAGGAAAAATATTTCTACAGATAGGGAATAAAGAGGTTAAATGTTACATAGTGTTCAGGAAGGGTACAACTGTGGCTCTTGTTAACACCTGTGTGTGACAGGCCTGAAGCTAGACTGGACATGATTTATTTCACTTATGCCCCAAAGGACATCAGGGTAGGTACTACTTTCTCTGTTTCACAGTCAGGATGGGTCCTCCCACACTTCAAGAAAGGACTTGGAGAGATAAAAGGGGGAGTCAAAACAATTAAAAACAACAATATAGTGTTACAAAACAATTAATCAACCTTTACATTTTACTTTAAATTTGAATATTTGCGCAATTGAGAATCATTTCTTCCAAAAGGGATTTTTTTTTTCAGGTCAAGCGTAAGTTATTGTTGCAAATAAATAAATAAATGCAGACAGACTGGCAGACCATCTTTTTTTTTTTCTGGTGGTATATGATTTGAAGAAAAGTGTGATAACTCAGGTCAGGTACTCTGTTCATAGTGATTTCAAATTTGTGGCAAACGATGCATTATTCAACTTAAATTATCCATGTAATTACTCTAGGTTCAACCTGAAATATTTAACATTTCAAGATACAACCACAAGGACCTGCTGCGTGAGATGTGTAAAATTAACAACACAGTCACAAGTAGCCACAGGGAGAGTTAGGATTCCATCACCAAACCATGCTTTCTGTTATTCCCTCTCATTGTGTCTTGGTCAGAGGTCTCATTTTGCCTGGCTGCTTGGGCTTTGGGAACTTTGGGTGTTACTTTAATAGAAAAGATGTAAGACTAACTAGCTGGTTCAGTATCAGTATCAGTATTCCATTATACGATTCATAAAGACACTGATTCTTAGCTGCTGAAATGAAACCTAGATCTTAGCACAGGAATAGATGAAGAATCATCTGGTTGGATTGCTTTGGCATAATTCCTGTGCCACAAATTCACCCTGCCCCCAGGGATCTCTCTAGCCCTAGTATCATGTTTGCCCTCACTGATTCTCAGATATGCATGTGGAAACTAGCATGTTCCAATATCCTCAGCCAAACATACAGTGGGTGTAACAATTATATAAAACAACAATGAAAGACGGGAAATAAAAGGGTGAAGAAGCAGAAATACCAACCATCCTAATCAGGACTGACTTATCACTGGTCAGTTTCAGGCTAGTTTACCTGTCAAACATTTATTTTTTTTTCCTTGCATAATACGTATTTGGTGTTTTCCTTTTAGCAAAACAGCTCACAGCTGTCATCACATTCCCAGAGGAGCCCATCCTCCCCCTAACCCCACTGATCTCAATAATCTACTTTCTATATTTCAGCCTGTAAGCATATCTCATCTGTTTCCATTAGTCACACCTCTTAGGACCTTAACCCTCAGGAATCTAACATCCTGAGGCTAGTATGACCTCAAGGGTTTCAGAGGGAAAAGAAAATCTGGGAGACACATAATCGTATTGCTAAGTACAGCAGACCTCTTCATGTGTAAAACTCAATTGCACAAGATTAGATTGAGTTTGCTAAGAAAGGTAGCACTTTGTTCCCTAAGTACCTGGATTTGTTTCTGATGATTTGCCCTTTTGTTCCCTCCCCGCCCCTCAGGAATTCATTTCACCTTCAGACTGGGATTTGATTCCTGCTCCCTATCCTGATTCTTCTTGTTCAGGATCTATGTACTGTTCTGAAGTTTGAAACGTGCCCAATCGCCAGTGAGCTCTGTGCTCCATCCGCTTTGACCTTGAGGGCCTGCCAATCCTATCAAATGCAGGCAGTTCATGGACCTATCTCAGGAACTTTATGATTCCCTTAGTCCTCTGACATCACTGTCAGCATGTTCAAGATTCTAAGCTAGATCTTTATGAAATGTTTTCTATTCTGAGCTCCTTGGCTTTCAGGCTTATGAGGAATTTGGAGGAAGTTCAGAAAGTAGACACAAAATCATCGAAAATGTGAAGGAACCTATGAAAAAAGTTAAAATTATGTGAAATTCTTCATCTGTAAACAGTAATAACCTTCAGATTAATGTGGAACTATACTATGGAGGGAGGTAGGCATCAGCCTAGGAAGCTGAAACTAAAATAAATAGGGATAAACTAGAAAATGAGATTACAAGGTGATCGAGGGTAGTCAAAAATACAAAAGCCATGAACTAAAACACTATTTCATAGAACTCACAAACTCCCATAAAATGGATTCCTTAAGGACACATGAAACACAAATTACAGAGCCTCTGATATATTGGAGATTCTGCAGTAGGATCTAGGTTTAGTAGCTAGGAATCTGCTCCTTCTTTAATCATGAGAACGAACACTCAGAGAAGGATGATAGGTTGGACTCTGTCTATCTGGGACTCCCAAAAGCTTCTATCTGGTGCCTGTATTCAAGTCCTGGTTCCAATTCCCATTCCAGCTTCTGGTTAATGCATACCCAGAAAGGCAACAGGTAGGTCAAGTGGGTGGGTCTCTGCCACTCACTGGGAAACAATACTTGAGTTCTTGACTTCTGACTTGGACTGACTCCAGTTGTTTGTGGGCCTTTGGGGAGTGACCCCATAGGTTAAAGATCCCTGTTTCTCTGTGCCTTTTGGAAATAATAATAATAAAAAAAAACATGGCCAATTTTCTTCTTTACATCTGTTTTTCAAATAGAAAATTTCTCAACATTTGTATGTGCAATGATTAAATGGTGTTTTCTGAGTTATTAAATTATCAAATGAATAAGGGCTCAAAGGTCGAGCATGTTCTCCCTAACAGACTGGATCCATACAATCAAATTACTGTCAGAATATTGGTTCTATTTGAGGTCCTAATGTCTGAACCTACATTTTGTATACAATAATATCCAAACCAATTAAGTCACTTTTCTTGACCTCCATATTTCACTGCCTGCAGAGTATCAGACCTATCTACATACTCTCTTAGGTCTCTTCTGACAGTCACATGTCAAATGTCTACTATGAATATGCAAGAAAACAAACATTATGGGTACCATGCATTCAATATTCACAGGATTCATTTTTTCTTACAAGTAGTAAAAAGTCTCAAGATTTTTAAAAAACATTATTTGAAAGGCATAGTTACAGAGAGGGAAGAGAAACATGGAGATATTTTCCATCCACTGCATCATTTGCAGGGAGTTGGACTGAAAGTGGAGCAGCCAGGTGTTAAACAGGCATCGTTTAATCTGCTACACCAAAATGTCAGCCCCAACAGTCTTAAAAGCGGTCATTATAACTTGGACTTGATAAATACATTTAAGTACTAATTCAGTCAAAATAGAGATTATTTTGTCAGAAGCACAGCAAAATGAATGGCCAATGGCAACTCCAAAACAAATTCACTAGTTGATCAAATACTCTTCACAGGATTTTATTTCTGTATATAACAAAATGAAGTACACTGAAATAGAATGAGACTACCGATACCTTTACAAATTTTTAGGACAGGTTAAGTTTATGCTTCTAACAGCAACAAATTCCCTGCTGTTCTGTATTAGGAATAACTATGAGTCCTTGCTTCATAAGAAAAGGCGTACTTCAAATAGTTCATATTTTCTTTAAAAATTACAGTCTAGTGTGACTTTTCAGAAAATTTAAATGCTTATAATATTCATAAATTAGTGGCCTCATAGTGGATGCTTTTTTTTAAAAAAGTAGTATTTCAAAAAGAAACAATAAACAATGCATTAGGCAAAAAGAAAAAAAAAAGCCTATTAATCCTTTGGGGAGGATTTTTAAAGATAGGCTTCTTTATTTGTCTGTTATTCATTTAAAAGTAAGTTTCAGAGAATAAAGACAGACGGGAGGGGTAGAGAAAAAGATAGGGGATTAGAGGGTGGGGAAGAGGGAGAGAGAGCACCAGGGACGTGTGTGCAACAGAGACGGAGAAATCTTCCATCTGCTGGTTTGCTCTCCACATGGTCTCAACAGACCAAGGTAGGTCTCCTGCAGGGACCCATGCACTTGAACCATCTTCCCCTGCTTTCCCAAGTGCAAGATGAGGGAGCAGGGTGGGAAGTGCGGCAGCAGGGACTTGATGATGTCAGCAGGGGCGGTCTAACCCATGGTGCCACAACACCAGCCCTAGATGTCTTCCTTGATGCTTTATCGCTTACCTAGCACCAAGAATTACAAACAAACATTATGTGAGATAAAAAGTAAACAGGAGGTAGCCTCTGTCTACTGCTGCCAAACAGAACAGAAGATGGGGGAAACTTGGAAGAAAGCCATTTATTAGGTATGTATGAGATGGGCATACAATACTATTAAGTGTAAAAATAATTCTGTCCAAGAGCAAATGAAGCGGCAACAAGATAGGAAAGTGACAATTCATTGTTTTAAATCTGATTACATAAAACTGCAATAAAATTTTCCTCCAATAAATTTTCCTCCAATCTGCAAGCTTTCAATTTCAAATTACTTTATATTTAATTTCTTGTGTCCCTACCTCATTTCACATACATGCTTCAGTTTACCATTTTAGATTACGTCATTTCAGGTATTGTTTACCTTTTTGCGTCTATCTAGATAACAGAGACTATATCATTACAAACTTTCTGCCTTCCACAATCAATCATTTACTAAAATTCAACTCTGCAGTCTGTTGCAGGTTTATCGTTGCTTTCTTAAAGCCTAGGGTAACACTTCATGTAAATGATATACTCAATGAATGAAGATTTTCAAGCTAAGTTTGATTTTTATATATTTATCCCTTTCATTTCAAAGGGTAGAAAGATGTAGATAGAGAGATAGGAAAAGAATTCCTACCTACCAGTTCACTTCCGATGTGTCTCTGGGAGCTGGGGTGGGGCCGGGCTAAAGCCAG